ACATTAGAGGTTGTATCGCTCTGCGACCCTTGTCTATTTTTCGTGTGTCACAAGATTGGAGCTCGTTTATCCTTCGACCGTCGAAGCTGTATGTGTGCACAGAGAGCAAGGGAGGGAGTTTGTGTGTGTGTGTTTGCGTGCGTGCGTGCGTGCCGCGTTGCGAGATAAACCGAAACAACGACCCTGTCCGCAAACAGGTGATTTTCGCACTGCAAAGCTGCTGTAAATTAGTCTCTGTTTGCTTGTTTGTCCTCTGCCTGTTTAACCAACCATTCTAGATTTGTAGTGATAGTGTTGTTCACTGTGATTGCGAACCGGTGCAAAAGACCATTCTTCACTCAGAAACTTGCAGCGAATTCAAATGATGGCGATGGGGTTCGACCACATCTTCCGGACTGATTTGGCGGTTGTCTTTAATTGATCACCGCTATTCGTTTTGATTTGTATCTCAAATAGTAGTTCGCGAACTGTAATTACGACTCTCTATTAACTAATAATATTCAATAGATCATATCTTTGACGAAGTATTGAGAATCGGTTCTCGTAGCTCGGATGAACAGAATTCATTGTCGCCTGTTTGCCGAGCTTGGCACTTTGCAATCGTTTCATCACCAGCCGAGGTGATATCTTCAGTGCTTGGGAGGGTCACATCTTTAGTTGGTGTGAGTTATGTACTGTTATACGAAGCTCTAACCCACCGAACCCTGAGCCTGTTTTTACATTTCATTGTTTTTTTGAAAGTTATGGTTGAATAGCTTTCACAACGATTTCTTTTAAATGCGCACTTTTTATGATCATTTCACATTCATTTATTTACAGACACTCTCTGTCTCCTAAAGATATAAAGTACTGGAATGCAGTCTTTTGGCCGAAGGTTTATCTTCATCTAGCACACCACACAAACTGTGCTATGCTCAAACGCAGTAGTCGACTTGCTTTTTTGTATTAAAATGAGAATTACAGAAAACGGGGAAATCCCCATGGACAAATAGCATCCTGTAAAAGGGAGATTGGGGTAAAATTCACGTAAGATCCAGTTTATCGATTCTGCATTTGAAAAGTGTAAGGTTTTAAGTTGGTAGAAAAAAACAGCAAGTGTTTCACAGTTTGGCAGCTCGGGGGAAAAAAGAAGATTGCAGCAGAGAGATACGACATCTGGGAACAGAAACCTAATAAGGATGACTAGATGCCTGTGTACGAGATAAGCGGATAAAATTTGCAGGAAGAGGAACTGCCGAGGCAAGTTCCGAAGAACAAAAACCAAGGTAATGTCGGTAGAACAGGGACAATGAAGTAACTGCCCGACGATGGGCTAACCACTGCACACTGGATGTTAGGGGAAGGATACTCGATTAGCCGGATGGCCTTTCGTTGAACACGACCAAGAAGGGAAAGGGAAGAGGACGAAACCCCACCCCACACGTGACTACAGTATTCAAGAGCAGGGCGGCTTTGAGGTTTGTACAATCGAAGAAAATTAGCTGGGATGAGAAAACGTCTGGCGCGAAATATAAATCCAACCTTGCGCGCAGCAAACGAAGGAAGCTTAGCTATAAAAGGGGACCAGCATAAAGAAGTTATAGGTCATCCGAGAAGGGAAACAGAGTCTGTGAAACGCAGTTGGGTGAAATCTAAAGATAAGTGGGGGGGGGAGGGATGAATGGTGTTTTAAAGAAATTGAAAGAAGAGAGGTGTTATAACTATTTAATGAGACGTGGTTCACAATGTCCCAGGAGTTGATGTGTTTGAGCTCGGAGTCAAGTGACACATTAACTGTCTTACGGTCAC